GTCAGATTTTAAAAAGAGCTTTCATATTTATTATGAGTTGCAATTTTTTTAAGTTGCAAAATGTATTTACGTGCATTTTTATATGAACAGTTTCTATTGTAGTTTAAGTGAGTTAAGTCAGAGTTACAATTACTTTATCTTGTAAAGGGAAAATTCTCAAGAAACATCTCACTAAAAGCATGTTCCATGTCCAGAAGTCTGTGATATGTACCATTTCCTTCTGTTTTTTTGTGGTGGTGGTTTCCTTGGCCATATCTTCAGTTAGGGGTTTTAATTTTCAGTATGTCCTCTGGCCCCTTCCTGGTAAGATTACTTTGTGTCTTTCATCTCACTGACGTCTCACAGCAGTCCGTGAAGGAGGTACCAAGAGTGCTGATCCCATTTTGCAGATGAGGAAAGAGGCTCAGAGATAGTGCCTTGTGCCCAACATGCCAGTGCTTTTGCTCACAATTCTTCTTTGTATGTCTTCCTTGCCTGATGGGTGGTTAATGCACCAGTAGGTTTAGGGGACCTCCACCTGTGTAGGGCCATTTGGAAAGTGGCCTCATTGAGGGCAGGGGACCCTAGGACACCAATTCCTGACCAAGAAGCTTGGGTCTAACTTAGGGTCTTGGGTGTGATTCTGGAATGCCTTTTTCCACTTCCAGAGCCCACCACGGTCAGGGTAAAGCCATGTTTCAACCCCCCTGGGGCAGGATGGGCTGGCTTTCTCAGGCCATGTTCATTGAGGAGCCCTGTAAGTCTTGGTGTCCCACCTTTGCCACCCCTTTCTCTTCCTTGGGATTCTTGTTGTCCTGAGACTCTGCCCCATCAACAGGAATGCTGCCCCAGCACATCCCTGCAGTGGCTGTCTAGATGCCCTGGACAGGAGCAGGGCTGGTGGGGGCCTCATGGCTCAGCCTAATATCTGGGAGTGGGAGCAGGATTCCAAGACAGGAAGCAGCCTTACCTTCAGAGGGGCCTAGCACAGGCAGGTCCTCTGTGCTCATTGTCCTCTACCCTACTCAGGCTCCAGACTGGCTGCCTGCCAGTTAGCTTGTCCCTTCATGACAGCCTCTCCTTCCCTACCCAGGACAGCGGGTACTGTCCTTGGAGTGGAAGCCTGCTCTCCTGCAGAGGAAAGTTCTAAGCTGGCCCTGAGCAGCAATGCCCTTTGTTGCTGTCTAGCTGTATAGCTCCCAGAGTGCTTGGGGTCAGTTCTGTGGCCCCAAGAACTGGAGGCTCTTAAAAGAGAAAGTGACTGCCATTACTCGTATATGCAGAAGAGAATTGCTCTTCTGGTCTGCATGACCCGGGCACTCAGCTTTGAGTAACTGCTGGTCTCTAGCCTCTATGGTCTCAGTCAAGGAGCCTATCCCTGGGCCAAGAGAGGAGAGAAAGGAACATCTCCCTGCCTGATCGTCAAGCAAATTCAGTCTTGTGGCATTCAGCCTCAGTGCTTAGAGCCCCTGCTGCCAGGCTGTGAGCCACTTTCTTCTACATAAAGACTAAAACAAAAAAAACCAACCCAAGGTTGGGGCAGTCGGGGCAGATTAAGACTGACTATACCATGTTGCTCTTGGTGTAGTAGTCTGTCTGCATGTGAAGGGTTTTTGGCATGCCCATCCCCACTGTAGCCTTCCCTTTATCCATGTTCTACAAGAGAGGAGAGCGGACTTGCCAAAGGCCCAAGCTGTGGGCTTGGAAATAGGATTTGAAACTTGGTCTTTGTGATTTCAGATCTGTTAGTCTCCCATTCTGGTACCCCACCCTATGCGAGGTGTTGGGGTGCACATGCCTCAGACTGTTGGTGCATGTGCGGGTGGGGTGCTGTGGCTGCTGCAGACTCAGGAAGTGGTGTCTGGCCTGGAGCATGTCTTCATGCACTGATCTGAACTCAGAGCCCTTGTCCTCAGAGAGATGCCTGTCTCTCTCCCCTCTTCAGCCTAGTGGGGACCTCTCAGTGCCTTTGGCTTTTCTTTTCCCTGATGTTCCTTTGAGCATTGTTCTCCGTGGTTCTCAGTGGGGTGAGTGCTGGGTTATGGGTCTCTGGGAATAGGGTGCTGCTGCTCTCCTCCTCTAAGCAGTTCCCCTCCCATCCACTGGGAGGCTCTTGTCTTCCTGCCTTTCCTATCCCACTGCAAGTTTGACCCAGACTATGCTGGGGTGGCCCAGCTCCCCGTCCCCCTAAACTAGGGCCAAGGCCGTGCCCAAACCAGGGAGTCTCCTCTGCATGATGACAGTCTCTGGGGGACCAGGCCTGGCTCTCTCAGGAAAGGGGACCCAGTTCTATTTGTTCTTGGAGGCAGGAGGATGGGGGGGTACAAGGTTGCACAGGATGTGGCTTTTAACCTGGAAGGGTGTCTCACCCTGGTGTTGTGTCCTTTCAGCCTGCTGCTGGCTTGATGGCATTGGAGGACATCAGGGCCAGGCTAGCACCTCCTTATGAGGGAAGTGCGAGGGACCAGAGGTGGCCAGCAGGAACTTGGGAGACTTCGACACCTGGCCTGGAGCTGCTCTCTGCCTACCTGCCTTGGGTGGGAACCTGTTCTGCCTCCAGCCTGCTCTCCATGGAAGTGAGCCCAGGAGCACAGGGCATGGCAGGGGTTTACCCAAGGCTGCTGTCTGTGTGTTGCACACATGTGCGTGTGCACACGTGGGGTGGCTGCATGTGGCCCAGCAGCAGGCTTCTTACTGACTCCCCAGCTGCCATATTGTGACTGCCTCTGATGACTGGAGGGAGGGACTGAGAGGAATGGCCCAGGCAATGCACCACGCAGACCTTGGCCTACATGCATTTGTGTGTGTGAGGTTGTGTGCCTTAGTCAGAGATGTGGTGGGATGACAACAGCTTTGCACCGGAAAAGCATGCTGGTTTCTGTTTCAAAGGGCAGATTTTGTGGTGGTTTTGCAGTTTCTCATCTGGGCATTTCCCTTGTTCAGTTCTGCCTTCCATCCCTGGAAACTCTGTCTTTTTGGGCTGGGTCTTTGTGACTCAATTTTCCCCCTTTCTACCTGAGTATAACTCGTTTTTAAAAACCACTCCCATTTTGTTGTCCCTCCCCCAACCTCTGTGACTGTCTTTTTCATTTGTTCACTAGGCCATTGAGCAAGCATTGCCTGGCCTAGGGGGAGATGAGGTGTGTATATGCGTAGTATCACCTGGGATCAAGGGTTTGACCACTGCAGGAGGGTGTTTCCAAGTTGGGTCTTGGCCGAATTGGAGTTGGGGAGGTAGACAGTCCCTCGCTGGGAACCAAGATGAAATGGGGGACAGGAAGGTGCTGGCTGTTCTTGCCATTGGTCGAGCATAGTTTGGATGGAGTAGAGAAGATGGGAGGACAGAAGCTAGAGGGTAAATCACTGAGCCCCATTGCAAAGGGCCTTGAAGGCCAGAAAAGAAGCATGTTCTCCTTAGCAACCTGGGGAGAGGGACCAGAACAATCTGTAAAGATTCCGAAGACTCAGGAGGGAATGGCTTATTGCTGAGAATTGGAGGCAGAGAAGCTGGCAGGAAAGTCAGGACTTGCAGCTGGGGAACCAGGCCCAAGGGGTTTGCTGAGGGCATGGAGCAGGCCCGGTAGAACCAGTAATGTGTGGAGGGGCAACTGGGGTTGGGGCCAGAAGCCTTGTTACACTCTTCAAGGTGGGATGGATGGGCCCCAGCTGTGGCTAGAGAGACAGGGAGAGAGCCTGGGGCTTTGACCCCTTGGGACATTCCAGCCAGGATGGTGTGCAGTTTGGGCTGGGAGGGCTCCTGGGGCGGAGGCCAGGCAGCATGCTGGCACAGCTCCTGGCTCCACATCTTCCGGGCCAATCGGGGCTGAGAGCATTTGGAAAGAAGCTCAGATCTAAGGGAGTGCTCAGCTAGAGTTGTCTCTCATGGCTAAGCCAGGCTTCTTCCATTGTTCTGATCCTCCCTAAGTCTCTTTATCTGGCGTAGAAAGTCTGCTTTCTGTCCAGGGTTCCAGCTAACACTGGGGGAGAGTGGGTGTGTGGCCAGGACAGCCTTCTGCGGATCTGGGATCAGAACCTGTGTGCCTGAGCTGACTTTGGTGAAGGAGTGGGCACTGGATGAGCTCCTGCCACACTGCCTACAGGGCTGGGCACTTTGGCTCTTAGGACTTTTGATGTTACCAACATCCTCATGATGCTGCTATTGGTTACCTGTGTTCCCAGACAAAGAAGCAGTGGGGTCAGAGCAGTTGTCACTCTTGCTGAGGTCGCACAGCTAATGTGACCTGAGCCAGAGCCCAGGCATGATTTCTTTGCCACCCTGCATTCTAGGGAAGTTCATTCTAGCGCTTTGCTTTATAGATGGTAAAACTGAGACTCTGGAAAGTTAAATGAGTCACTTAGCGTCATTTCTGGAGTTAGCAGTTGAGGCAAGTATGTGCCATTCAGACCTGTGTGCTCCCCATTTGTGCCGAGTCGGGGCAGGGGGCACATGCAGGCCTTTGATAGCCAGGATAGGAAACATCCCATGGACAGCCGCTGCCTTATGGGACAAGGCCTCTTGCTGAGACTTGCTTGTGAGTGACTTCAGGGGGTGGGCCATTCAGGGGTGCACCAGTTCTTTGGACCTGATCCTGTCCAGCCCCACCCTCTAGGGACTGTGCGACTTGGTTTGTGTACTTCATGTCAGGAAGTGGTCCTCATAGGACAGGCTGGGGGCTCTGTTTCTCTTTTAAGAGTCCAGCTGTTTTTCAGGTCAGAGTAACCTGCTGTATTCTCTCTCAGTGAGGGAAAGGTACACGGGACTGAGCTCCCTGTTCTCCCAGACAGGTCGCTCGGACCTCTCAGCTTTGAGCAGCGGTCTATGTTCAGGCTCAGCCTAGCTCTCTCTTGTCACCCAGTGGGACTGTGAGGGTCTTCGCTCTCTGCCCCTCAAGGGGGATCTCTCTCTGTGGTCCCTCCCTGAGGGAGAGTGTAGTAATAAGTGAGGAAACCAGGTTGCCCTAGTTTCAGTGCTGAATCTCAGAGACCCCAGCCTAACCTTGGCCTCTTCTCTACCTTGCTAGTTGACATTCGAGAAATCAAGGAGATCCGCCCAGGGAAGACCTCTCGGGACTTTGATCGCTACCAAGAGGACCCTGCTTTCCGACCAGACCAGTCACACTGCTTTGTCATCCTGTATGGGATGGAATTCCGCCTGAAGACCCTGAGTCTGCAAGGTGGGAGTCGTGGGAGTCAAGGGGCTGGAGGAGGCAGGAGAGTAGTTAAGGGGAATGTCCCCTGGTCTCTGGCTCAGCGGGAGATGTGTCCTCAGCTCAGCTGTTCATCCCTCACTCACAGCTACATCTGAGGATGAAGTGAACATGTGGATCAAGGGCTTGACTTGGCTGATGGAGGATACATTGCAGGCAGCCACACCCCTACAGATTGAGAGGTAAGAACGACTCCTGACCCTGTGGTTAGGGTTGGGGGCATTGGGATCTAGGGAGCAGGGGCAGGGACACTGCCTGATGATCTCCTCCCAGGACTGGCCCTGGCTGGAGAAGTGGCCCTCACTGCAGACTTCTCCCTCTAGGTGGCTGCGGAAGCAGTTCTACTCGGTGGATCGGAATCGTGAGGATCGGTAGGTCCTGAGCTGTGGCTCTAGCCCAGCAGGTTGAGCTAGGGCACCCGTTACAGTAGCCATGCCTGAGGGCAGCTGCCTGGAGAACCAGAGGATCCATGGGACCTGCCTCATGGGGCTGGGGGGTCGGTGGCAGGTGGTTCTGGCAAAAGTAGCTTCCTGCAGAAAGTTCTCTGGTAGCTATAGTGCAAGCTGGCAAGAGAGGCTAGGGACAAGAAGCGGTGCCCTGCCACTGTAGGCAGAGACAGGAAGAACAGAGCTTGCTCTGGGCATCCTGCAAAGAGGTCAGGTGGCTTGCAGTGTATGCAGTGGGTACCTTGAAGTTCAGGTAGCTGAGGCCGTAGTGTGATAGCCAGAGGGGCCAAGGAGAGAGAGGGAACAAAGACCAGGTCATGACTGTTTCTGTGAGAGAGATGGGAAACCAGGGAGGGTTTGGAAGAGAGGCATGACATGACTTGACACTTTCACAGGACTGCTTGCTGCTAGTGGAGAGTCCAGGGCCTCATAAGCAGTTGAGGGTGAGCCCTGCATGAGCTGTACATGCAGCAGCCGGCAGCCTCCCTATGTCCAAATGGGCCAGCTATAGAGCTGAGGGGCCAGAGGTACAGGTTGGAGCAGTGCTGGTGGGAAGGGGGCCTGAAGATGGGCTCCCCTACCCCATGCCTGACCCACTTTACTGAGTCTGGTCACTCCTTTCTTGCCAGAACCCTGGGTTTTTGTTTTCTCAGATGAGGAAACTGAGGCTCAGAGAAAGGGCTCTGATACAGCCTCACCCTCAGGACTTCAAGTCCCAGAGTAGTGTTGTTTATCTGTCTAGTCCCAGGTAGTCTCAGCCACAGGTCAGAGGTCATGAGAGGTTGGGTGAGGCCACTGGAGATCTTCATGTTTCCTTAGTATATCAGCCAAGGACCTGAAGAATATGCTGTCCCAGGTCAACTACCGGGTCCCCAACATGCGCTTCCTCCGAGAGCGGCTGACGGTAAGGGCCTCCTAGGCTGTCTGCGGGTGGTGAGGGAGGCTGGGAGCCCCTGGCTGGTGGGGCTGACCAGAGCCCTGTGGTATATAACCTTGCAGGACTTGGAGCAGCGCAGTAGCGACATCACCTACGGGCAGTTTGCTCAACTGTACCGCAGCCTCATGTACAGCGCCCAGAAGACGGTGCATGAGCCACCTGCCTTCCCATGGCCCTTGCCCCTGTTCCCTGCCCCAGCCCTGTTTGCCTGAGCCCTGCTTCCCTGCTTGGGGGCTTTTGGGTGCCATTTCTCCAGCTCTTCTCCTCTTGAGGCCTACCCCCATCTGTTATCTCAGCCTTTCTTTCTAAGAGCCCTTTTCCCACATGACCTCCCAGGGCTCTCGCTCTGACCAGGTTCTGTTTCCTGCAGATGGACCTTCCCTTCTTGGAAGCCAGCACCCTGAGGTTTGGTGTGAAGTGGGGAGGTGGGGTTCTCCCTGGGTGATTCCGTATGTAGGCGGGAGGCAGTGGGAGGGGGTGAGCCATGCTGGATCATTCTGGGCATCTGTGCTGGCTAGGAGCTGGGCTCTGCCTTCCAAGGGGCCCCTTATTGTCTGTGGACCATGCGAGCCAGCTGGCTGCCAGGCATTTCCCTTCTCTCCTACAGGGCGGGGGAGCGGCCGGAGCTCTGCAGAGTGTCCCTTCCGGAGTTCCAGCAGTTCCTCCTCGAGTACCAGGGGGTATGGCTGGGCTGGGACTGGGCCAGGGTTCTTGGCTGAGGGAGGCTGGGCTTATCACTGATTGGAGCCTCTCATGCGCCCCCACCCCAATCAGGAGCTGTGGGCTGTGGACCGGCTCCAGGTGCAGGAGTTCATGCTCGACTTCCTCCGAGACCCCTTGCGAGAGATCGAGGAGCCATACTTCTTCCTGGACGAGGTGAGACCTGCCTTTCACATATTCTGTCAGAGAAAATAGGTGCGGCTAATCAGAACCCTGCCAGGTCTCCAGGAGCCAGTTTGCCTTAGGGATGCCACCTTGCTCCCCTAACTGTCTATTGTGCCCACCCCATTTGAGACTGAGCACCCTCTCTCCTTCCCACCAACCCCATGCCCATAGGGTAGGGCAGGGGGCTCAGTTTCTCTTCCTTTCCCCATGTGTTCCTGGACAGTTTGTCACCTTCCTGTTCTCCAAAGAGAACAGCGTGTGGAACTCGCAGCTGGATGCAGTGTGCCCGGACACCATGAACAACCCTCTCTCCCACTACTGGATCTCCTCCTCGCATAACACGTGAGCGGCGCCCTCGGCCCCACCCAGCCTGACCCGGGGAGGGAGAGACTCTCCTGACCACCCTGCCTTGCCTTCCCCTCCAGGTACCTGACCGGGGACCAGTTCTCCAGCGAGTCTTCCCTGGAAGCCTACGCTCGCTGCCTACGCATGGGCTGTCGCTGCATTGAGTGTGCGTTGGGGCCGGGGCTGGGGGAGGAGGAGGGCAGGCCTGCCTGCTTGACTACTCATGTTGCTCCCCAGTGGACTGCTGGGATGGCCCGGACGGGATGCCAGTCATTTACCATGGACACACCCTTACCACCAAGATCAAGTTTTCAGATGTACTGCACACCATCAAGGAGCATGCCTTTGTGGCCTCAGAGTGAGTGGGGGGTGGGGACCCAGGGTTAGCTTAGCTCCAGCTCTCTCCTATGACTGAAGGCAGAGGGTCCCCTCAAACGCCCTGTCCCCATTCCGCCTGCCTTTCATCTTCATCCCCCTTCTGCTGCTTGCCTGAGCCATTGCTGCCCACGGGACTCCCTGTTCCTTCACCCTTGTCCTCCCCTTTGTGGGTCCTCCTCTTCAGCTTGTGGTAACAGTCAAGCTCTTCCCATCCGTAAAAGATGCTCCCTTAACCCTGACATCTTTAGGCCATTGTCTTGCCAACTTTTCCCATCACAGCCCAGAAAATTGTCTTTGTCCCGTGTCTCATTCTACAACTGCTACTCACCCTCACCTGTGGTTACTGTGGGATGGGCTCTGAGAGATCAGCAGTGACCAGGTCACTAGCCTCTCCTGCCTCTTTGGTGTGGGATGTCTCTCTTGCATGCTGGGGTGGACTCCACCATAGGATGAACTCTGGGGACTCATATCCGCAGCAGTCCCATAGGTGCCCCTGCAGCACCCCTCCACCCTTCCAGTGCCCAGGGCCCGCCTCCTGAGAGAGCTCCCTGTCGACGGGACCAGGCCCTTGGCTCCCCACTCCTTCCTCTGTGAAGGCTGTATGGACTGAACCTTGACCCTACAGAATGGTAGGGTCTTTTTCTCCATACTGGTCCCCTACTCTGCAGGTACCCGGTCATCCTGTCCATTGAGGACCACTGCAGCATTGCGCAGCAGAGGAACATGGCCCAGTACTTCAAGAAGGTGCTCGGGGACACACTCCTCACCAAGCCCGTGGACATTGCCGCCGATGGGCTCCCTTCACCCAACCAGCTCAAGAGGAAGATCCTTATTAAGGTAGGGGTGATGGGCTGGTGGGGCCCCCCTGCCCAGCACCTCTCTGTGGCCATCGCTCCAGTTGCTGGTCTGGGCCTGAGTGAGGAGGTGGGGCTCTGGGATTTGGGCTGGCACTGCCATGTCCTGGCCTGTCCCCCTCAGCACAAGAAGCTGGCTGAAGGCAGTGCCTATGAGGAGGTGCCTACATCTGTGATGTACTCTGAGAACGACATCAGCAACTCCATCAAGAATGGCATTCTCTACCTGGAGGACCCCGTGAACCATGTGAGGGCCGGGCCGGGCCGGGCTGGGCAGGGGCGACAGGTGGTGGGAGGACCCTGTCACAGCCCTGCTTTGGTCTCTTCCAGGAGTGGTATCCTCATTACTTCGTTCTGACCAGCAGCAAGATCTACTATTCCGAGGAGACCAGCAGTGACCAGGGCAATGAGGATGAGGAAGAGCCCAAGGAGGTGAGGGGCCAGCCCAGGGCTGGGGGCTGGGCTGGGCTCAGTCATTAAGTGTCTTTGCTGTTGTCCTCCCCGTGCAGGCCAGTGGCAGCACAGAGCTGCACTCCAATGAGAAATGGTTCCACGGGAAGCTCGGGGCAGGACGGGATGGGCGGCACATCGCTGAGCGCCTGCTGACCGACTACTGCACTGAGACTGGGGCCCCCGATGGCTCCTTTCTAGTACGCGAGAGCGAGACCTTCGTGGGCGACTACACCCTCTCTTTCTGGTAACCCATTCCCTGCGCTGGTGCACATGGGTGCAGCACCACCCAGAGATAGCTATGGTCCAGTTTGTCTTTCATTCCAGGCTTTCAGGTGAAACACGATTTCATCACGCCCACATGCGCGCACACACTTTTCCAGTCAGCGGGTCCTCCCTCCTGCAGGGCTGCCCTGTGCCTGGGCTCCTTAAGAGTCCTGCCCCCCTTTGAGACTTGGCTCCCTTTTGGGGCTTGGACCTGCTGCTGACTGCCTTCCTCTCCCCTCAGGCGGAACGGGAAAGTCCAACACTGCCGGATCCACTCCCGACAGGACGCTGGGACCCCCAAGTTCTTCTTGACAGACAACCTCGTATTTGATTCACTCTATGACCTCATCACACACTACCAGCAGGTGCCCCTGCGCTGCAACGAATTTGAGATGCGCCTCTCGGAGCCCGTCCCGCAGACCAATGCCCACGAAAGCAAAGAGTGAGGGTGGGGTTGGGGGTGGGGTAGGGACCTGGGTGGTGATGGAGGGAGGGGTCCTGACTCAGGCCTGTCCTCAGGTGGTACCATGCGAGTCTGACGAGAGCACAGGCCGAGCACATGCTGATGCGTGTCCCCCGTGATGGGGCCTTCCTGGTGCGAAAACGGAATGAACCCAACTCTTACGCCATCTCCTTCCGGTGAGAGGTGTGGTCTGGGATGCTGGAGGTGGTGCTGGGCTGCAGCTGGGCCCCTGTGTGACTGTTCTATCTTTGTCAAGGGCTGAGGGCAAGATCAAGCATTGCCGCGTCCAGCAGGAGGGCCAGATGGTGATGCTGGGCAACTCAGAGTTTGACAGCCTCGTCGACCTCATCAGCTACTATGAGAAGCATCCACTGTACCGAAAGATGAAGCTGCGCTATCCCATCAATGAGGAGGCACTGGAGAAGATTGGCACAGCTGTGAGTACCGGTGGCTGAGGGGTGCAGCAGGCCGGGGGGAGATCAGACCATTCTGAAACTCCTGGGCTCACTGATTTGTGGGGCAGGACTGGGAACAAGTGAGGCAGATGAAGAGGCAGGGGACAGGCCTTCAGGCAGAGAGGTCTCCCCGTGCTCCAAGGTGTGGGGTGAGGAGATCCTGGAGTCCACACAGGGAGGGTTGCCTGAGGCTGGAGGCTTATCCAGCTGGGTGTGGACTAGACTGTCCCTGGGGCAGGGGAGAGCAAGCTGCAGAAGTGGAGTTGTGGAGGGCAGAGCTCCAGGGGGAGACGAGTGAAAAGGCAGGACCCAATGGAGCAACAGGGTTGAGGTGAGGGTTCTGGACCAGGATCATGGCCTTGGACGGAAGGAGGCTAGAGCAGGAGATCCACTTGAGACTCTTGTCACCAGTGATGCAGGTGGCCAAGGAGAGGGCTGCCATCCACTGGGGCTGGAGTGGTGGAGAGGAGTGTGCTGGGGGACAGGCTCAGTGGTGAATGAGGGAACCGCTGAACAGAGCTATAGGGCTCTGCTGCAGAGAGCTCAGGAATGGGATGGGCCTCAAGCTAAGAACGTGGAGAAGGGAAAGGATGAGGCCAGGCTCTTGTATCCATCCCTACTGAGGGAGAGGGACCACAGTGCACCAGGCTCCAGTGAAGAGGGCAGACTTAGCGACCAGCTGCCCTGGGGGAAAGGGGCATGTGGCAGCCAGCACCACTTTTGTCTCTGGGCGTTAATGTGTCCCCATTCTGTCCCCTTTCTAGGAACCTGACTATGGGGCCTTGTATGAGGGACGCAACCCTGGCTTTTATGTGGAGGCAAACCCTATGCCGACTTTTAAGGTACAACCTCAGGCTTCTGGTCACCGGAAGCTGGGGAGGATCCCCAGCTGCTTGGGGCTTGCATTTCTGTGCTCAGGGCCCATCTGTGGTCTTTGTGGAGAAGTGGTGTTTGTGGTTTTCCGAGGCCTGAGAGGTTGTGAGAGATGTGTGGTTGGTGTGCGGCCACAGCTCTCAGGGCCAACCCCTCCCAGCCCGTCCCTGGGGGTCAGCACTGACCCTGCAGACTGCTCCCTGGGGTAACCCCGGTTTCCTCCTTGGGCAGCAGTGGGGGCAGGGGGCACACTTGCCAGAAAACTTTGTTTTTGCCACTCCCTCCCTCATCTCGTGGCGATCTGTCAGGATCTTCTTCTTTTGCCTTTTTCTTTAAGGGGTAAGAGCTGTGCCCTGTTCCTCCCCCTTTTTCCCTCACTGCCGGGGAGCCTGGGAGAAGGTTCCTTCTTATTTTTCAGATGAGGAATGCTGTGGTCCCAGGGGAGGCACTCAGGGTACCACACACACTTCCCCCCAGCCCTGACTGCTGGGGCACATACATGTTCTCCCTGGGGCCCAGGCAGGGGCTTGCAAAGTTCTACCTGGGCCCCAAGGAGCTTCCCTGGCAGAGGCTCAGTCCCCAGTGACATCTGTTCTGGAGCCTCCTGCAGGGCAGCGGTGAGGACTGGAACTAGGCAGGCTGTCGCCAGTGGTACCTGCTACTACCTGAGCCCCAGCTGGGAAGCCCAGGCGCTTGTGTATGCATGTGAGGTTGCAGATCAGGAGAGTGGCGGGCAGGGACTGCGTGCTCACCACTGCTTCTCCGCTGCAGTGTGCGGTCAAAGCCCTCTTTGACTACAAGGCCCAGAGAGACGATGAGCTGACTTTCACCAAGAGTGCCATCATCCAGAATGTGGAGAAGCAGGATGGAGGCTGGTGAGCACTGCATATACCTGTTTGTCCCACGTGTGTCCCTGCAGTGCCTGCGTTGGCCTGGCTTAGGTGTGGGGGCGCCTGACAAAGGATACCCTCCTTGGGAGTTTGGGGTGGTTGCTGAGGGTCAGCAGCCCATGGCTTCCACAGGTGGCGGGGAGACTATGGTGGGAAGAAGCAGCTCTGGTTCCCGTCAAACTACGTGGAGGAAATGGTCAGCCCAGCAGCCCTGGAGCCTGAGAGGGAGGTGAGCCGAGAACTGCTGCTGGAGCAGGAGTCCCACTACCTCCCCTCCCCGGTGCACACACCCATCTCATGGTGCCAGGCATGCTATGCATGCCCAGCCAGCCACACGTGTGGCCATCAACATCCTGTGGTGTCCATGGTCTCCAACATATACGTGCCACGTCTGTGTAGTCATGTCCACACTTATAAGATGTATTTGTCATATGCAACAGACATTTTACACACGAGTACAGGAGACGTGCTGACGAACTTGGGGCTTTGCTTCCCACAGCACTTGGACGAGAACAGCCCCTTGGGGGACTTGCTGCGGGGAGTCTTGGATGTGCCAGCTTGTCAGATTGGTGAGCCCCCGTCCCCTTTTCTTGCCCACTGTTCCTTAGGGTCAGACTCCTTCGAGGCTTTCTCCATTTTCCAAGTGGGGAGGCCAGGGTCTGGCCCCAAAGGATGTTCTCACTGTGAGCTCTCCCCATCCTTGAACACCTTGACACCATCTTAGGGTCCTTTCTGTACCCCCAGCTTTGATCCTGCATGCTCACCTTGGGCCAGGCACTGTGGCTGATGCTGGCAGCTCACTGACATCCACAGTCCTAATGGGTTGGGTCACAGGGTGTGACAGAGGGTTGGGGAGGGGCCCAGGGTCCAGGCTAGAGGCCTACATTAGACAGATTGGGTTTGAGCCCTGGCATCTCCCTCCTGGCCGCAAATGGGCCTGGCAGAGTAGTGCTGCCTCCCCCGAGTGTTGGGAAGAGGAAAGGTGATGAGAGAACTCAGTGGAAGCAGTGCCAGGGACATAGAAACTTCCGGTCCCAGCTCGTCTTCTCTTACTCCCCCAGCCATCCGTCCTGAGGGCAAGAACAGCCGGCTCTTCGTCTTCTCCATCAGTATGGCGTCGGTGTCACAGTGGTCCCTGGATGTTGCTGCTGACTCACAGGAAGAATTGCAGGACTGGGTGAAAAAGATCCGAGAAGTGGCCCAGACCGCAGATGCCAGGGTGAGGGCCTGCCTGCTGGAGTCTGTGGGGTGCTGGGTGGGTAGCGTGTGAGCCTCGAGGTAGAGACCCAGAGGAAACAGACATGGGCCCCCGATGTAGCCTGTTAGGATACGTTGAGATACGTGTGGGACATCCATGTGGGTCTGCTCAGAGGGCGGTTGGATACACAGGGCAGAGGTTAAAGGTCCCTAGGCTGGATGCAGGTGTGGGTGCCCAGGGGCTCAGGAGGCATGAGGACTGTAGAGTAGGAAGAGGAGGCAGGGATCAGCATGCAGGGCTGGGGAGGTACACACAGGCAGTATAAGAACATGAAAGTGCCCATTGGACTTGTCAGAAAATGGCCTTGATGACACTATGAAGAGCCATGTCAGTGTCATGGCTGGTGTTGGATGGCAGTGGTACTGGGGAGTGGTCAGGCTCTTTAGGACCTGGCTATAGGAGAGAGCAGAGGGCTAGGGTTTGAGTAGGCATTAATGCCAACAGCTCCAGGGGCGAGCAGGAGGTGGGAGGAGATGGAGCCCGAGCTCAGCTGGAAAGAGCCTTCTGAGCAGGGGGCCCCTTCTGCTGAGCCTAGGGGATGGAGAGAAGGAAGTATTCGCAAGGATAAGGGAATTGCTATTTGGTGGCCCTTTGCCCTAGTCATTCGGGGTGGGTAGAGTGGCTATAAAACAGACCTGCGGCTGCTTTGGACAGTGGGTACCTGTGAGCCAAGCAGAATACAAGTGCTGAGGATTGTGCCAGAGGTGTGGCCTGGAAGGACAAGGTACTGGCAGACCAGGTGGTTGGAGATGGATCCCAGGCTGAAAGGGGGAGAAAGAGTCTTGAGTGCAGGAGTCCCTGGTGGAAGTGGACCTCAGGGGTAAGAGGACAGGATAGGGGCTCTAAGAGTTGGCTTCTGTCGCTGAGATGTGGCTGTGGAAGTAGATGGTTGCATTGGAGAGGGGAGCTGAGGCTTTTTGGCCAGGTGGTGGAAGGATGGTCCTTGAGGTACAGGAGACCCAGCCTGGGTCCCCAGTGAAGTCACAGGGAACCAGGTAGTGGGCTTTTTGCTTGAGGGAGGCTGGGGACAGAATGGTGACAGCATCATTGGGTAGTGCAGCCAACCCAGGGAGTGGGCTATGGTGAGGATCCCACCCTCCGAGAGCCTTGGAGGGCAAGTGTTTCCTCAGGCAGAGAAGAGGCTGAGGCTAAGAATAGAAGGCTTTTGTTTACTCTTTAGTGAGGTCTGGAAGGTGCAGGGAAGGGGAGGGGCCCAGAGCACCTACCATGTGGACTGTGTAAGGCTGGCAGGGGCTCCGCTTGGGGTTACAGGGCCTTGTTTATGTCACCAGCTCACTGAGGGGAAGATGATGGAACGGAGGAAGAAGATTGCCCTGGAGCTATCCGAGCTTGTTGTCTACTGTCGGCCTGTCCCCTTCGATGAAGAGAGTAAGAGCCGAGGCCCAGTGGGGCTTGCTTGTGTTTGGGTGCTGTCCATGGGGGGTGTAAGAGGAGTGTTTAGTCCCTTTATGCAGGGGTTAGGGAGCTGGCCCCCAGCACTGCCTGGGTGGGAGGGCTCTGTAAGTGTTCTCCCTGTTTGGCCCAGAAATTGGCACGGAACGTGCCTGCTACCGGGACATGTCATCCTTCCCGGAAACCAAGGCTGAGAAGTATGTGAACAAGGCCAAAGGCAAGAAGTTCCTGCAGTACAACCGGCTGCAGCTCTCCCGCATCTACCCCAAGGGCCAGCGGCTGGACTCTTCCAATTACGACCCCTTGCCCATGTGGATCTGTGGCAGTCAGCTGGTGGCCCTCAACTTCCAGACCCCAGGTGAGAAGGTGCCCTGTGGGGTGGGGAACCCCAGGCAGTGGGGCTGGAGGCCACTAACCTGGCTTTTGCAGACAAGCCCATGCAGATGAACCAGGCCCTCTTCATGACTGGCGGGCACTGTGGCTATGTGCTGCAGCCCAGCACCATGCGGGATGAGGCCTTCGACCCCTTTGACAAGAGCAGCCTCCGTGGGCTGGAGCCATGCGCCATCTGCATCGAGGTGAGCTTCAGGGTGGGAAGGGAGCTGCCCCACTGGGCTCATTTCAGGAGTCAGGGATTGGGTACTGGTTAATAAGACTGGGGAAGGGGCACTGGACTGTTGTTGAGTGTGAGGAAGACATGGCTGGACTCTCGAGTGACACAGGCCAGAGGCAGCCAGGCTGAGCATGGCTGGTTCTTGGCACTAAGGAGTCAGGCTGCTCCTGAGGCCAGGCTGAGGATAGCCACTGCCTGGAAGGAGTAGGCAGAATATGGGCAGGAAGCTAGTGCCAGTGGTGAGCCAGGGGCCCATTGCAGGAGCAGCTAGACAGCATGGTACTTAGGAGAATGCAATTGCGCAAGAGCAACTCGGCCCCAGAGCTCTCACACCTTCGTAGCAGTCCCTGAGCACCCCTGATGCCCCCTGGTGATGTAGGGTTCAGGGTGCTTGAGGCCTGAGCAGTGTTTTGGAGAAGTGAGGGTAGCATGGATTGAGCATCTGTTTCCAAGAGAAGATTCCTTTTTCCCCCCAGGGGTAAGTAATTTGAAAGATTTCTAAGTTAAAACAAACATGGGTTTGATGCGAAGTAGATTGCAAAAACTCAAATGAAAAGTTTGGTTAAAGCGAAGACATCCTCAAATGAATGTTTGCTGTCAGCAGTTACTCCTAGGCACTTAGGGGCAGCGTCCTTGGGGCCCAGCAGAGGGCGCATTGCCTCCACTGCATAGTGGAGACTTGGAGGGAACAGGAAGGACAATCCCCTGCACATCTTTGCCTGCCTTACAGGTGCTGGGCGCCCGGCATCTGCCAAAGAATGGCCGAGGCATTGTGTGTCCCTTTGTGGAGATTGAGGTGGCTGGTGCTGAGTATGACAACAACAAGCAAAAGACAGAGTTTGTGGGTGAGCCTTCCTTCCCCACTCACTGTCCTCATCCTCCGCTTTGCACCAATGACCGCATCCTCTCCTGGTGGTGGCCTAAGGCCTTTTGCTCTTGCTTTTGCAGTGGACAACGGCCTGAACCCTGTGTGGCCGGCCAAGCCCTTCCACTTCCAGATCAGCAACCCTGAGTTCGCTTTCCTGCGCTTTGTGGTGTATGAGGAAGACATGTTTAGTGACCAAAACTTCCTGGCTCAGGCTACTTTCCCAGTAAAAGGCCTGAAGACAGGTAAGGACTCTGCCAGCAATCTGGGGCGGGAGAGTGGGGGCCCATTCTTGGCTCTCTCCCAGGCTGAGGGCCAGGCTTTCCTCCCAGGGTACAGAGCGGTGCCTTTGAAGAACAACTACAGTGAGGACCTGGAGTTGGCTTCCCTGCTGATCAAGATTGACATTTTCCCTGCCAAGGTAACTGCATGGGGTGGAACCCTGACGATGCTGCAGGGTACAGGGGAGTCACTGACCTCTGTGCATTTCCCTCACTGAAGCAGGAGAACGGTGACCTCAGTCCCTTCAGTGGCACATCCCTGCGGGAGCGGGGCTCCGATGCCTCGGGCCAGCTGTTTCATGGCCGGGCCCGTGAAGGCTCCTTTGAAGCTCGCTACCAGCAGCCATTTGAGGACTTTCGCATCTCCCAGGAGCATCTTGCTGACCATTTTGACAGCCGGGAGAGAAGGTGAGGGGGTTGGGGGTAGGTGGCCAGTGTGCAGTTTGGCATAGGAGGTGCTAAAGAGACGGGAAGGAGTGGCTTGGTGGTCCTCTGGTACTTTTTTCTCCTGAGTACAGGAGTTGTAATTGTCTGGGCTGGGCTGCAAGGCCCTACTGCCAGTAAGAACACTCGTCCCTTCTGTCCAGGGCCCCACGAAGGACTCGGGTCAATGGAGACAACCGCCTCTAGCTGTGCCCCTGCCTCGTGGAGAGCAGCAGGTGCTGTGTGCCTCTTGGAATGCCGTGAACTGGGTTCGTTGGAAGTGGCCTGCCATGGCAGCCTTCCTGGTCTCACAGCCTGGAGTCTGGATTCCAGCAGAGAATCCTAGACAAAACCAAGCCATTAATGAGATGTATTCCTGTTTGGGGCCTCCACACCCCAGCCTGGGTGAAGGCAAAAACTGTACTGTGTCTCACATTAAGCACACACATCTGGCCCTGACTTCTGGAGGTGGATATTTCCATCTTGTGGGGCCAGGACCACAGCCGCAGCCCCTTGGAGACAGAGGTTGCCTCAGCCAGCAGCACAGGAGGCTCTGAGGAGCCGCTGACATTCCTGAGAATGGAGGAGCAGCAGCAGCCTTGCTGGGCCAGGGAAACCAAGTTTACATTGTCCCACAGCCGGGCAGGGTAGGGGGATAGATGCCCCCACAGTTTGGCTCTGGAGCCAGGGCATAGGAGCACAGGGCCTGCCCGAGGAGGACACAGCACAAGGGCACATTGCCCGTGGCGGGGAACACAACCCAGCCTGAAAGATACAGGGGACCATGTTAAAAGTAGCAGTACTGAGCATCGCAGGCCATGGAGGGTTGCCCTGTGAGGAGCCAGTAAAGGAGGCTGAGCCCCAGGGCGCCACCAGAAGCAGGGACGGGCAACATGTCCCAGCCACAGCAACGCCTCAGAGCCGTGGAAGGAGAAGGGCCCAGAATTGGGCATGCCACACCACTGTGGACTGCGCTATCTGCCACCCCATTGTCAAGGACCTGCTTACCAGGGTAGACCAGTTTGTGGACATACTCGAGGCCTTTGTCGGGATGATCGGCACCAGTGTGGCCAGAATGGATGAGCAAGTTGCCAAGGCGGAGGCCAAGCTGGGGACTTTGCCCAGTACATTCAGGTAACTCCCGCACACCATTCACATGCCCTCCTTCAACAAGGCTCTCCAGAGGCCCCAACAGACCGGCTATGAAACCCCATCCTGTTTCAGACCGAAGACCACTTTCCCTGTTGCAGTGGAAGGCCTGGGATCTGAGTGCCAGACAGCACTGCAAGAGGTTATCTCAAGTATTAAGTCAACTGAAAACCCTATTACTAGACATACATGATGTTGGAGTATAGAATTTTAAAGTTTATTTTTTGCACACACTATTTCTCACTATCTTATTTCACGTAGGATGTATGATTTCCTATGTCTTCCATTTCTAACCTGACAGCTGCTTGATAAAGGGATTGGGAAAGCAAAAACTCAATTTGTGCACTGTGGCAGAACTGTTATTTTTATGGATTTTCCAGCTCAGCTAACAGTGTTACCTTTTCAAAATTCACATATATTCTTAAGAAAAACCACTGAGCCATTAAAGCCTTTGTTATTATTCAGCCCTAGTAGTGATTCCGTTTTCTATAGCTTACTTTTAGGGTAGGTAGTAAGTTATTTACTATAATGTTAAACTTTCCATATCATGAATTGTAAACTGAAGGAAATCATACATTTTCCGAGGAAATGTATTGATTAATTCTGAAGTTGTGTTTGAAACGGTGACCTCACAATCCTAATTTGTCCATAGCAAACGTGTCTACATATGGTTGCCAACGTTTGGTTTATAATTTAAATATTAAAAATTTAAAATTTTATTGGAAAAGCTTTCCTTCTAAAAAGGACTTTAAAAAAAGCAGTATTTTTTTTCCCTGATGGTATAACTTACTCCTCTTGCTCCCCACCCTCAGGAGAAGCCTCTGGGAGGAGAGCAGCAGGTGAGAGGCCTGCCCTGTTGGGAGCTCCTTTTGGGGAGTTAAGGCACGTCAGGAATGGGGCGGGGGAGGTGAAATAGCAAGGCGTGTTCTGGTAAGGTGGTTTTTCTTAAGGCAAAAAAGACTCCGTACACTTGCCCCTAGGAATGGAAGAGGAATCGAGTAGTTCAGCTGCCTGCCTTGCGGGAGGGGGGCAGGACAGGCAGGCAGGTGCTGACGGCAGCTTCTAGCTGGTGAAAAGATCCAAGGAGCGGCAGGAGGAGGTGTTGGGAAGGGCGCCACCTCAAAGGACAGGCTGGGGCATAGGTGCCTCCGCGTAGCGGCACTCAGCACACTCAAACCCAATGCCTGTGTTTGGGCTCAGGGTTAGCCACTTGCTAGTTCTGCTGCCCTCTTAAGATCTGACTGCCAAATAAATCATCCTTATCCTCTTTTTCCTTTAACTTGTGTATTTTTTTGTGGGTTCAGGAGCCTGTTGTCTGGAGGCTTGTTAACTAGGGCGGTTTTTCTATGGTAGAAGCAGGTGGGAAGTTCTCATTCAAGCAGATCGTGTTTCCTCTGGGCTACGAGGAGTATGAGGCCACCCTCTCCTCTCGCCTGTCCACCTAGGGTGTGGATGGGTAGAGCGTGGCCTGCCCAGGAGCAAGCGCTTCCGTGGGCAGCCAGCTATGGCGGTGGGCAATTCCACAGAAACCTCTCCTTTCAAAAAAACGTAGTGTTCAAACGTAGGATGCTGGGTGCCATTCTGGTTGCCTCTGTAGCATGCAACCAAGATTTCTGCTCAGAATATGGTTGAAAAGGCCCTGCCCTTCCCGTCCTGTGGCTGTTTTCATCATGGCTGTGTTGGTATGGGTAAAAACTGCCATATAGGCATAAAGTGCCTGCCTGGTGGGTGGGTGGAGACAAACATATGAAGCCATCCCAGGGAGCCTGAGAAGACCTGTCGTTGAAGAGACGCAGGTAAGTGTAATTAGTTGGTTCTTAGGATGGTAATTAGCATCCCCCTGCTGCCATAATGCACAGACCAAAGCATGGTTGGTGGCTTTGGACTAAGACTGTTTTAAGACAAGCCCAAGGTGGATTTACAGTTGTAGGTTCAGAGTGTCCCTTTCCTATGTGACAAGTCAGACCAAAGGCATACATTTCCCAAGTTCATAGATGTGGGCCCAGTCCTGGTACATTGTAAGCCCCTCTGAGCACCACCCACCTAGAGATCTGGGTTCGCCACTTAAAATATTTTGTGTCATTCACTGAACTAGGTATGATAGCCAGTATCAAACTGCCGCTGCTCAGGTTCTTACTGGCCTAGGCTTTCCTCCTAGAGCTTCCTGGTACTTCTCAGAGGAAGGAGGGTGGTCCTTTCCCTCAGACAAAGGGGTGGTGGGTGATAGCCCAGAATAAGCCCATGCCTTTATGGTCAGTTAAATTTGATAAAGGCACCCGGCGGGGCAGGGCTCAGTGGTTGAGCATCGACCTGGGATCCAGGCGATCGGGGTTCGATTCCTGGTCAGGGCACATGCCCCGGTTGTGGGCTCGATTGCCAGTCGGGGGTGTGCAGGAGGCAGCTGATCCGTGACTGACTCTCTCATCATTGATGTTTCTGTCTTTCTCTCAAATCAATAAAGATATATTTTTAAAAAATTTTTGATAAAGGAGCCAAGAACATACAATGGGGTAAAGAGTCTGTTCTGGTGATTTTTCAACCAGTATGCCACAAGAATTTTTAAACATGTAATACTGGACTATTCAGGGGCACTGACCTCTTTTCCTTTAGATTGTCAATAAAAAATGATAGCCAACGCAAAGATAGCCCTGTCTTGAACCATAAATATACAGGTCATAGAGTAGTATCTTATTGGTCATGTCACATAATAAGGTTATATCTGGTTAATTCTTGGTACCAGAAATAACATATACAAGTATATGAACTTGATTTTTTTAAAAAGTGATTTTGGAGCAAAAAAAGGTAATTATTTTTTTGGTAAATCAAGTCAAAATTATACCTGTTTTTTTGTCAGACTGGAAAAAACATTTTTTACTGTGCCATAGAATTTTAGTAATTAATGTCTACCATGAGATGAAAAAGGCTGAAAATCACTGATATATTCAATAAAAGGTGTTGGGAAAATTGGACAGATGTGCAAAAAAAAAATTAGACCACCTTCTTACACCACACACAGAAACTCAAAATGGATTAAAAACTTAAATGTGATACTTGAAACCATAAAACTAGAAGAAAACAGGCAGTAAAATTTCTGACATTTTCATTAGCAATATTTTTTTCTGACATACCTCCTCAGGCACGGGAAACAAGAAAAAATAAATAGGACTACATCAAACTAAAAAGTTTTTGCACAGCAAAGGAAACTAACAAAATGAAAAGACAGCCCACTGAATGGGAGAACATATTCAGAAATGATACATCTGATGAGAGGTTAATATCCAAAATTTATAAGGAACTCGTACAACTCAACATCTAAAAACCCAATTAAAAAGGAAGAGGACCTGAATAGACAACTCTTCAAAGAGGGCATGCAGATGGCCAATGGACATATGAAAAGATGCTCAGCATCACTAGTCAGAGAAATGCAAGTTAAAATAACAATGACATATCACTTCACACCTGTCAGAATGGCTGTTATCAATAAATCAAGTAAGTGCTGGGAAGGATGTGGAGAAAAGGGAACCCTCATGCACTGTTGGTGGGAATGGAGATTGACGCAGCCACTGGGGAAAACAGTATGGAGTTACCTCAAATTAAAAACAGAGCTACCTTCTGACAGTGATTCCACTTCTGGGAATTCATCTGAAAAAACCCCAAAACATTCGAAAGAATACATGCACCCCTATGTTCGTTGCAGTGCTTTTTACAATAGCCAAGATTTGGAAGCAGCCCAAGTGTCTATCAGTAGATGAGTGGATAAAAAAGCAGTGGAACATTAGCACAATGGAATATTACTCAGCCATAAAAAAGAATGGAATCCTACCTTTTGTAACAACATGGACGGACCTGGAGAGTATTATACTCAGTGAAATAAGACAAATACCATATGATTTCACTCTTGTGGAATCTAATGAACAAAGTAAATAAACAGAAACACTCATAGATATAGAGAAAGACTAATGGTTGCCAGAGGGGAGGGGAGTTGGACTGAGTGAAAGATGAAGGGATTACGCAGCACAAATTCATAGTCAGAAAACAGTCACGGATGTAAAGTACAGCATAGGGGATAGTCAATAACTCTGGTGCCAGGTGGGTACTGGAAATATCGGGACCACTTTGTAAAGTATGATTGTCTAACTACTATGCTGTACACCTAAAACTAATACAGAATAATGCTGAGGTGTGCCTGTCTCCATCCCCAGGGCTCTCCTGCAGCACTGCCTCTGCTTCCACTGCAAACGGCCTGGTCCTGCCCTCAGTCAAGCACATTCACGTATCAGTCTCACCTCAAATTCCTCTAGACAGACCTGATGATTCTTGGTTGACCCAGGAGGCCCAGTAAGGGGGTAGGGGTGAGGGAGAACCCTCACTTGGGAGTGGATGTACTGTGTCTTAAGCCCACTGTTGGTAGTTACTTGCCTCACTGTGCCCACAGGCCATGTGCCTGCAGTGCAACAGCTTGGGCTGGCAGCCTTCCACCCACTGGGTCATGCATCACCTGGGGAGCTTCTGAAAAATGGTGGTGTCTGGGACTCTGGCATGTATTTAAAAGCTACCCAGATCACCTGAGTGAGTAGTCAGGGCTGAGAGCAGGGAAGGGAGAGGAAGTCAGTGGTACCAGGGTCAAAGGCAAGAAGACTGGCTCCTCCTTGCAGGGTTCTCTGGTCCTGGTGACTGGCAGACAGGGACAAGTAGACTGGGTTCAAAGGGCAGGCCTTGACTCACCTGGTGGGCAGTGCGCGCACACAGCACTGCCTCCAAGGTCAAGAGCCCCTCGATAAAGGCTGCCCTGTAGGAGGAGGCAGGAGCGGTCCGGACCTCCGTTGAGAACACTGCCATTGGTGAGGACCTGGGGCCACGAGCAGAGAGGTAGCGCCTTCCCTCGTGATCAGGCACATCCTGAACATCACCTGAAGGCTGGGGCTAGAAACTCACTTGTCTCAACTTGAGCCCATCTTGCACCATTTCAGTTCTGTTGAGGGAAAAGCAACTATATGTCGCATCAGGTTATCCCATCAAACTAGCTCATGGAACAAAATGGTTGTGCTTCCTCCACCTTTCAGTTACACGGTCAAGCCCTGGCTCAGCCTGAGGACCCTCCTCCCTGGGTTGTCCTCGTGATCCCCAGGGCACTCATGCCCAGGTGTCCATCGGGTTCTGTGCTCTGCCTAGAAGCCCACAGCCACCCCATGCTGGCCACCTCTGCCAACTCTGCCCCAGTTGTGTCCCACGTGAGCCACTGTCTGAGTCTGCACCCGCCCTGGGGTCAGCTGGTTGGCTTTGGGTCCCACCTGTGTGGTGTCACCCCCATGAACTTCCTGTTCCTGTGAGGCCCCTGGGTCCTTGGGCATATTCCCACCCCCCACCCCCTACCCCAGCAAATGATAAGCTCTGCTTATTACTACTTTTCTCACATGAAAAGGGAAAAGAGACTTGCCGTGTTCTCTCACCAGATACCTGATGCCTCCGGGCTCGACTCAGTTGGCCTCTGTCTGGCGTAATTTCTAGTGTCACGTTTCTGTCACGTAGGCCTGTACCGTGGACCGAGCACGAGCAGTGCAGGAGAAACTTCTGAAGCGGGTTGAGGGACTGCCTGCTCATCTATCCCCGTTCCCAGGCCCTCTTGCCCACAGAATGAAGCAGCGGATGTGAAGTGTTTTTAGCCTTTTTTTCTGACTCTCCCACAGAATAAGAGTCAGCAGATGTAAAATGCATTTACGATTTTATTTAGGAACAATCAAAAGATCTGAAGTACCACTTCGGCCATTTCAAATTGTACAAGCAGTTTGTCCCTGTTGCCCTCCCTTATCCACATCCACAGATACAAAATCTAGGAAATGTGCAATTTGCATCTTAGAAATAGCAGCATCCCCACAGGGGACCTTGTGAGCCCGGAGACGCCCAGAGGCAGCCCCTCCGCCCACCCAGGCACAGCCGGCCCAAAGGCAAGTCCCATCCCCTGTTAAAAACATTTCCCCTCAGTAGAACCCCCATTCCACCCAGGCCTGAAGGACAAAGCGTGCCCCTCGGTTTGCTCTCACACTGGGCCACTGCGGGAGGTGGGGGCCTCCTACACAGTTTGATAACGTTTTAATTTGCCTCTGGACAAACAGGGCAGCTGCCTCAGCACCAAGCTGATCACTTTTTCAGCCATCTCTGGGAGACAGGATGCGCACCAAAAGCAAACTGTTCAACAGTCTCATTCCCCTCCTCCACTTCTCAGCAGTGCGCTCTCTGGAAAAAGGGCGTTGCACTGAGACCAGAATCCACCGGCTGGTAGAAAGCCAGGAATCAGGACCATAGGGAAGGAATCTGCAGGCCTTTGGCAACCTCCCCGCTTCTACAAAGACAGCGCTTGGTAAACTTTCAATGAACAATGGCCTCGGGCAGAGGGGAAGGTTGGTGTGTTTCTCTTTTTTAATAACTACGGCACGGTCTGGCCCTCCTGACACAGATGAACAAATCGGTTGCTCAGAAGTGCCGTGGAACAACTCCACACGGTGGGTGACCACCTCTCCCCTGGCTCTGGCCCCACTTCATGGAGCAGCCTGATTACCAAGCTGGATCCCTGCTGAGGGGAGGGGCAGGCACTGGCTCTCCCCTCACCAGCTCTGGTCAACCTGTGGCCCCAGCCTGGACCACATTTCAAGCAAACTGCAAGAATGAGACAGCTATATGGGCAGAAGTCGGGGGCAAGTGACATTCTCTCTCTTTAAACACAAATTGCAGGACTAACACACACCATGTGGGTAGATTCTTACCCTAACAGTGAGTCCACACTGGAGTTTGACTCTTGGGAAAGACCAAGCACTTGTGGCCTTTTATGGTCAGTGAACAGCTTTTGTCATCCTAGACATTTCACTTCCGTTTCAGTCACACTGAGTACTTTTAAACTCTCTATTCACCATGGACGGGAACAGAAGTTAGAAAGCATTAGCGAAGAGAAGCTGTTCACTAATACACTCAAGTGCTCATGTGTGCACATGTGCACACCAGAGCCAGTCTCCTGAAGGAAGAGGCACTGATGGCAGGTAAACACTCCTCTCAGGAACTGTGGCTTGCCACACGCCCCTAGTGGACAGCAGGAGACACACAAAGCAGCCAGAAGATGACCACAGCCCCCACTGGATGCCTGCCCACTGCGCTCCGCTGCCCCCTCCCTCCGCTGGGCCCAGCTCAGGCCTGCGCAGTAGCAAGGACCAGGTTCTGAGGGCTGCGGGAGCCTTGGGGCTGGTGACAAGGGAAGGACTGTATGTCCTTTGTGAATCCTCACAGTCCTGCAACCCAAAAGATCTGATTTTAAAAATGAAGGCTGCAGGTGCTTGCCCTGTCCTTGTCAATATGGTAACCAGGGCTTGCCTAGTCCCTCCCAGACTTTGGGTCTCCACCCCTGCTCCAGATGTGGGGGCAGGTAGAATACCTGGCTCCTGTGGGATCCAGGCTGTCATGTGTCTAGTCTGGTGAAGGAGTAGTGCCCCATTCAAAGGAGAGGCCAGGTTTGCAGGCAGGTCACAGAATGGCCAGTCTTGACAAGTAAGCTCGGGACATAAGAACAGAACAGCAGATTCGCTGGGGCGAAATGCTCTGTCTGTGCTCCTCACAGCTAGGTGTGGATGCTGGGTCAACTAGCGGAGAACTGGGAACTGGGGTTAGCCTCACCCCCTCCCAGTGTTGCCTGGCACTGGGAGCACACAGAATCCAGCAGAAATGAATTCAAGCTGAAGCCTGTCGGTTCCCTCTGGACTTAGAGCTGAGCTGGGGAGCAAAGCCAAGCTGCACCCATGAGAGCCACCTGCATCCTGCCAGCCCAAATCCAAACCCACCACTTTGTTGAGAGGTCGCCCACAGCCTCCTCAGCCCTGGTGTCGCATGGCTCAACTATCATAAATGAGCCAGAGGAAACAGCATGGCAGGAACCTCAGATTGAAGCCTAGCTCTAGGAGGGGACTATTCAGTAGAAGGCTTGGGCGCCACCCTCCCTTTCTCAGGTGTTAGAGCTTTGCTGAGGGTAGGTGCTTCCCAAGCCACACAGAGATGGCCCCCAAGGGCTGGGCAGGAAGGCTGGGAGGGCCTGTGCTCCTAGGGAAAGGCAGCGAAGGAAACCAGTTCAGGGGACCCTGCGGGGGGGAGGGGCTCGGTCTGGAGTGAGGAGAGCTGAGCCCCCTTGTCCTCCTGACCCAGGCAGGCTGCTGGCTGTGCAGACCTTACACGTCTAGAGGACTTTTCTTCTCCAACACACAACTGAGCCTAGCAAATCAATGGGATACATGAAAATTTAAACTTCATACAAAAGGTGAGTCAAACTGATAACCTGCCCCAGGTAAGCTCTGAGCAAGGAAAAACGAAGAAATGCCCAAACTCCAGGTTTGGTTTTAGTTAAGATTTTCTTCTTGGCTGGTTCTCCTCTCCTGCAAAGTGCCTTCATCCACTTGGGCTGTGGTGTCTGAAATGACAAAAGCTACTCTAATCCCCCATTTTGGTCTGAGAAGAGAACAGGAAGACGAGGCAACAGGGCCCGAAGAGGGCAGCACAAGCAGGAAGCCGTGGGAGTAGATGTGCAGAGAAACACAGGCCCCCACCCAGAAAGACCAGCAAGGAAGGCAGCCTGGCACAGATGTCCCAGAGTCAGAGGTAGGTGATGCACCACTGACCGAGCCACATCTCAGCCTGGAAGACACTGAAACTGGTGGGACAGCCTCCCACAGCCAGCTGGGCCAAGACCATTAGTACCTGTGGGAGCCTAAAGGCACCATCCAACACTCTACCAAGCTCTCCACCTTTGTTTCCTAAGAGCAGGGTACGGAGGCTTCAGGTCGAAGCGCTTTGGTCCACCTCAACAGCTGTGGGTCACTCGACCAAGAAAGGAGCCCTAAGTCCCAGAGGCTGCTGAAGCCCAGGCGCTGGCCACCACCCCACTCAGGCATTCTAGTTCAGAAACCCGCAACTCCTGGACACAGGGACCTCCTCCCGAACCAGAGCTCCTCAAGAGTCAAACAACTGATCGATATATGCAAAGTATATGTATCATAAATCCAGATTCCCTGTATCCAAATGATCTGGTTTCACCCCTTAAAACTGTATTACAACCTCATGTAAAAAATATAATAAACCAAACATGGATAAGACATGGGCAACAGCAGCAGCAAAATACTGCCCCTGACGGTCCAAGTGCATACAGAGGAGCAGGAAAAGATCAATCACCTTACAAAATAGGTTTTTCCTCACGAGAGACTAACCCCACCACCCCAGCCCTCTCAACCCTGCAGCCCACAGACTGCCTTCTAACATAGGCAATGTCACAGAATCTGCCTCTTCGGTGATCTGTCTGGTGACAAGGTCACATGTGCCTGGCACTGCTGGTACAGCCCATTTCTGGGCTAGTGTGGCTATTTCTCTGTGCCTGGTTGGGTGTGTTCAAGGTTCTGCACCCACACTGAAGCCCGGGATACCTGCAGTATCCCTTTAGGCACCTGCTCGATGACCCAACTCTCTCTCTGACCCTCACCTTCAATCATGCTATTCTTCCAAGTGTGAGGCCCACACCCCGCTTTTTCACTCCAGCCCAAGCGCACAGGGAGGTGACGGCTCTGTCCACTCGCCGGGCTCTTTACCTGGGCAGCCTTGTCACTCGTCGTGTGGCCCTGGATGGTGGGCAGGGCTAACAATGTGACAAAAACATGCCAACTTTTCCACCTTTTAAAGATGAACTGGTGCCGAGGTTGGGTTGCTCTCTATGTCCTGCATGAACTTGTCCACCATGTACTTTGTTCTTTCTGTCTTGCTGTCTGGATTGTAAATGAAACGTGAATACAAATAACCAAGAAAATCCTTTCTAAAGACACATCCCTTTGGCCAGTGTGCGCAGGGTTCCAGGGGTGACGGCAGCAGGGTGTGTCTCAGACACTTGGAGATGGCTTCACGCTGGGCCACCCAGTGCGCCCCATGTACCAGCATTCCCTCCAATACAGGCTACTTTCCCCAACACCCATGTGCCACTAGGTTCCTCAAGTGTGCACGTCTGATGTTCATTTCATGAGAAAAGTATCAAATGAGTATTTGTACTGTATATGTGTATACATAAATTAATCTGCATATACATAAACACTAAAGGAAAAACCCCAGTTGTCTGTTTGCTGAAGGAAGCAATAACTCATCATTTTTGGGAATTCCACAAAGAGGCCTTGGGCTAAATAGCTTCACATCCAAAAGTGGAAAGGATATTAAAAAAATAGGCTGCAAAGCTTGCCAAGTACTCACAAGCCACCTGTTTGAAACACATAAGAGGTGGTCCCTATTGGGACAGAGAGGGCAGGAGAAGACACCCTGAAGAACAAGAGTTTGATTTGCGAAACAAGCCTGTCCGGGAAGGCGGGGGGCGCTACCATCTTCATCCTCTGAGCCAAGCCAGTGAAGAGCCCTGCGGGTCCAGTTCCCGGGGGAGGGGGGTGCCTAACCCAGCACCCGTATTTCTTGCCCAAAGCCCTTGCCCTCTCTCTGGGGTCTCCTCATGCTGCCAGCCTAGTGCTTTGGGAAGCAGGTGGTGTCCAGGTGAGCAGTGCTGCAGGTGACCCTTCTTTTGCCTGTCGCACTCTTTACCTGCTGCTCTCAAAACGGCCAGTCCTGGGGAAACAGGGACTTACCATTTAGTACAGCTTTGTAAGCAAGTTTCTCAACATTTCAAAGGCACCTTTTCCTGTGATTTTTCTCAATTAAAAAAAAAAATGGGTACAAGGGTTAGGGTAAAGTAGACAGAGCTCTTGTTTCCAAGTTTGCAGATATAAATATAGACCTTTAAAACTATAAATCCTCACAAGGACCTGTCCAGTGATGCCCAGCACCCCTGGGGCAAGGGCAAGTGCCTAGCACTCCAGCCAGGCCCTTGGCATGGGGGCCAGGAGGCTATGGGTATTCTGCCAGGAACACCCACATGCAGGTATTGGTGCTGAAGGCTACCCTAGCTCTCATAATCCCATCAGTTCTCACTCTCACTACTGGGCAGTGTGGGTCTCCCCTCCCAGACCACAGATGGCTGTGCAGGGAAAGGTGAGGGGCTCTGAGCACAGGCTGTGGCCACAGTGGTGTCCCCACTCCTGGTTCTGCTTTCAATTTTCCTCTCACTCTAAACATGTCTAGATTTTTTTTTTTTTTTTAAATGCAGGCACATAGTATGTTAGGCTTAATAGCAAATGTTTCTTTAGTTGATCTGATAACTGAAAAGTAATGGTCCATGATTCAAACTTCCATGAAAAAAGCAGAATTACTACAACAGCTTAAGAGAGTGGTAAGCATCCAACACTAATCACATAGCCTGTCGTAAACATGGTCACGGCGGTTCTGCACTAACTATCCCACCAGGCACGCAGCCGGGCAGGAGATTTTGCTGGTCTCACTCAATGTAGCGGAGAGCTCTTCAAACATACTGCCTTCCTTGAGGAACGCAAAGGGGGCCCAGGGGCTCCGGATGTGGTCTGAGTGTGTGAATAACCCCTGCCCAGCCCTGGGAGGTGTGGCCCCAGCGATGTCCAGAGAGCAGACACAGGACATTTTCAGAGATGATGTAAAAGACCATGTGCTGCTTTGCTAACCAAAGTTTCTATGTAATAAAAGTGTTCATAATCCAATGTTCCATTAAATGTGTATAGGCGGACTTACATGTTAAAAACTTGATTCTGTGTCTAGGAATATGAAATCTGAACTACTTTATCCACTGGAAGGCAAAGGAAAGGTCCTACATTGTGAGAGGAAGAACTGACGAGAACTGTGCTCTCCCTTCTTGCTCGGTGGTGGCTGGCCGAAGGTGACGGCAGGATCTGGGCTGTCCAGAAGCTCTGGTGCGCCCAGAGGCCGGGTATGGGAACAGACGTGGCAGCTGAGTTGGGTGGGGCCCTTCCATGTGGCAGGCAGCATCCTAGACTGGCCAGTCCTTCACAGTAATCCGTTCAAATTCAGTCTGTTTCTGAGGAGAAAGCACATACCTGTCACCTCTATGTCAGCCGCCATCGGTATAGCCCCAGGGCAGCAGGAATGCCCTCCCTGCCATGCCAGGGTGGAATCACTGGCTTTGGGGACCTCTTAATTCCATGAGCAATGCCTTTTAGCCAGGCACTCCCCCACTCTGCAGCCTGAGGGAATGTGAAGAAGGCGTGTGGGTTAAGGACAGGATGCTGGCTAAATCTGGCAAGGGACCACTGCCAACCCCAGCGTAGCAGCTGGAGCCAAAGATGTCTTCTCTAGGCCCACTAACGTATCCCCTCAGCCCAGCCCAGGCCACCACCTCCTCTGGACTCTAGTCCTAATCCACCTCATCCTGCCCTCTCCCTTCCAGCTCTCCAGAACACACTGTTCTAATAGCAGCTGGGTATAATTTCTGACATGTATTTTAGTGATGTCTTCATTTCTAACTTCCAACTCCATAGTCAAAGTTGGTGGGCTGTTCAGAGAGCTCCGTCATCTGTGCTGCTTACAGAAGCAGCCCTTGCGTTGAGACTGCTAACAAGGCCATGAGACAGACAGCCCTTCCTGCACCTGCGGTTATCTGCCTTGGACAGAAGAGGATGATGCCCCAGGGGCAGGGGCAGGGGCAGCCCCGCTGCTCCCGCTCTGTCCCACCCAGGACACTGCACTTCACTTTCTAGTGGAGTTAGTAGCTGAGGGAAGCGAATGCTTGCAATTCAAACCCATTCATCCCAATTCCAGGTTAGCTTTCTTTAAAAGTGTGGTGAAATACACATAACATAAATCCTACCACTCTAAGTGTGCATTAAGTGGCACTAAGTACAGTCATACTGTTGAGTAACCACCACGCTTTTTCCAGCTGCCCAAGAATATGATTCAGTAAAATTTTAATTTAAAAAAGCAAAAAGAGGCCCAGCTGGTATGGCTCAGTGGTTGAGCATTGACCCATGAACCAAGAGGTCACCAGTTCGATTCCCAGTCAGGGCACATGCCAAGGTTTTGGGCTTGATCCCCAGTAGGGCGCGTGCAGGAGGCAGCTGATCAATGTCTCTCTCGCAATGAGGTTTCTGTCTATCATTCTCTCTTCTTTTCTCTCTAAAAATCAATAAAAACATATTTTTTAAAAAATATACCTTTAAAAAAAGAGCAAAAGAATTAGTTTATTCTAGTTCCTAGTAATCTATGCTGTTTTGCTGGCAGAGCCAAAGCCCAGGTGGGCATCCCCCAGGGGGCAGGCCCAGTGCAGGAGATGAGGCCCAAGGCAATCAGCCCTGTGAAGCTAAGCCTGTCCCCTGGTGCCCATGATGCTCCGGAGGAGGCCCTCACTCACTCATAGGGGCCTGGAGGAAACCAAGGGCAAGTCCAGAAATACCAGGTCCAGGAACCAACTTCTAAAGGTCCACACATCAGATAATCTGAGAACCCAGACCCTTCCTCAGTTTCCACAGCCTCCTGTGAAGAGCTAAATTACATGGCTCCTGGCCATCCTGTGAGGAGGCCTCTAATGAGGAGACAAATGCCTAAAGGTAAAAAGGAAGGGAGAGGAGCTGGAACATCAACACCCCATAGATAGCGTGACTTTGTGGCTTCAAGAAAGCTGTCTTAAATAAAATACTCTTGCAAATTTTTCTGTCAAGTACTAACACCATGACCCAGCATCTGAACCCATATACGTCTAAGGGGAAGATGATTTTCCATTAGTTCTACATCAGGAAGAACAATTAAAATGCAAATTACATGATTTTCATCATTAAAGACTTCATGTATCTAAGGACAATTAAAGACTTTCCTTTCGTCTACCAATTTGAGTTGAAGTTCCTCAAAAGCCCTATTGCTCTCTCCTACCCAGTGGTTTTGTTTCTGCCCAACTCAGGTGACATTCTGACCTATTCTCCTATTGCTAAGAAATGGCTAGAAAACTGGACCTAGTAGGTTCACTATGTTCCTTCCCCTGCACAAGTTTTAAAAAAACATGAAATGAAAAAACAACTGTCAATTCTTTATCATGTTATGCTCTGATGACACCTGCTGCCAGTTACCTCGAAGCAGCCAGGCAGCCTTCAAAGCAGCAGATGCTCTCATGCAGTAAACCCAGTGACTACTCACAGATGCCCCTTCCCATACCCATGGAGGATAGTCATGGCTCCTGTGGGCTCCTTACCCAGCTGACGACCAGCTTGGGGACTCGGTGTGTCACAGGGCTCTGAGCTGGCCTCAGGGGCACTGGGCTCCCACGACTCACTGTTTTCGGACACCTCTGTATAGGTATCACTCAGCCCTTTGTGCACTGCTGCAGGGTCGCCATGGCCCTGGTCATCACTGCATGTGTCTGCCACGGCCCGGGTCTCCTCGCCCATTTTCTCAGCAAACCACTGCTTGACCTGCTGGGAGCTCATCTGGGTCTTGTCGCAGAGGCTCTGCAGGTCCTCCTCATACAGCATCTTGTGTGTCACATAATAGTCTTGCAGCAGCTCCCGGTTGCCAGGGGCAATGACCAGCAGCCCTGGTGGGAAGTTGCCCCGTTTGTAGTCTTCGTACCACTTGAGCTGGCCGTTCTTCAGGGCGTACCTGCTGTCCCCGAACCAGCGCACCACCTCCGGCCGTGGCAGGCCTGTCTGGGCCATGATGGAGTCGTAGTCCTGGGTGCTCGGCCACTGCGTCTGCACAAAGAGCTGGCGCAGCAGGTGCCGCTGCTGTGCTGTCTTTTTGCAGCTCACCTTGCCAGGCGGCTGTGGGGCCAGCTTGTTTAACCCGTCATCTTCAGGATCACAGGTGCCCAGCCCGGGCAGCTCGCTCTTGCCGTTGGCTTCAGTGACCCGCAGGTTCTTGAGGTTGATTTTGATGGGGCTGACTTTGCGTTCAGCCAAGGTGTGGCTGCTGGGCACGTCTGGGGAGCCATTCTCCCCGGGGACCCTCAGTTCACCAGCCGCCTCCTCTGCTCCACCCTCGTCTTCCGAGGCCTCCTCCTCCTCCTGACAGGCACTCCCGTCGGCCTTGGTGGTCTCCTCAGTGTTCACTTTTTTCCGTCTCTCAGAAAACCAGCTGTCAATCTCTCTTCGGGTCATTTTGGTTTCAGTCCTCAGGCGGTCCAGTTCCTCATCGAGAGGAAGGGGGTTTTGTGCAAAACTGCTCTCCAGGGCTCTGAGCTGCTCGGGAGCTCGCTCCTTGTATTTGGTTGGTGTGAAGTCAGGGGTCTGGTGCCAGGACTGTCGTTTGGCAGAAGGGTGGGTGGCCAGGGTAGCTGCCGTCGGGATGCAGGTCACCTCAGGAGCCTTGGATGCTGGGGAGAACGGCACCTCTGGCACAGAGTCAATGACAATGGACCCGGGATCCCCCGGCATCATGGCCCGGGAGCCCTTCAGGTTCCGGCAGTGGTACCTCCGGTCACTGAACCATTTCCTCACCTCCCTGGTACTGAGGCCAGTGACTTTGGTCAGATGCTCAACTTCACTCTGTCCCGGGAACTGGTTCCGACAGAAGCTGCCTTTCAGAGCTGACAGCTGTTCGTGAGATTTCTTGTTTTTGTAGATGCTGGCATCGAGGAAGGCTTGGGAAGTTATGCTAGGGCATGCTGTGAGCAGAGACTGGGCCGCATTGACCACCTTCACTGCTGATGTCGTATTTGAACACACAGTGTTAATGGGCGCAACAGTTGGCTGCTTGGGGACGGATGTTACTGCTAGAGGGAGAGACGAGCTTGGTGCCTGCAACCCATTGGCCATCAGTGGCTGAGTGACAAGAAGTCCCCCTGCTGTGCCCTCTGGCTGTCCCACGACATGACCTGGAAGGGCAGCCTGGATGAGATGCTGGACGTTGCCAGCATTGGCAACCAGAGGAGTATTGAGAACAGTGATTGTGGGCTGAGGGACAGACTGAATGACTGTATTGAACATCTTTTTCCGGGCATCCTCGATCTCTTCAGGGGACCAGCTGATGCCCTGCTTCAGCCTCTGGGCTGTAAACCAGATCTTGAGCTGCTCCTCTGGGTACTTGGTGACCACGGTCAAATAGCAGAGCTCGGCTTTGGTGGGGTAGGGGAACTTGTGGAAAGAGTTCTTCAGGAAGCTGTTGGAGTCCATGGCTGCATTGTACGTCGGAATGCTGCTCAGGGGGATCATCACTTTGGGAAGGGACTTGGAGGTGGGCAGTGGCTGGTGGGTATGGTGCTGGGCATGCACTGGGGGCTGCTGCTGGAGGGACAGGAACTGTGCTATACCAGCCGGCAGAACTGGCACTGTCCCCAGCAGGGGCCCGTTGGCCACATGGGGAGGCTTGGTGGAGTTGGTAGGTGCCTGGCTGACTGGAACCGCCCCGTTGACAAAGGAGTGGTCCCCCTCTTTCGCCTCTGTTTCCCCAGCTGGTGGGTTTGGTAAGGCGTCACCACCAGGCTGACTGGGGGTGTTTTCCTTGAGTGTATGAATTTTTTTGGCTTCAGCTTTGCCTTTCATTATCTTCATGATTGGAGTTTTGGTGATGATGATTTCAGCTTGTCCATCTGTCCCGTCAGTGCTGGGCTCGCCCAGTGGGTCAGGAGTGCTGATACTCTCAGGGACACTCTGTTCCACAACGACATGATTGTCTGGCTTGGCCACATTCCACATAAAGCTTGCTTCCCCTGAGTGGCTCTTGGCATTGTGCAGAGAAAGCCCCTCAGGAGTTTTTGCCAGGAAATTGCACTCAGTGCATACAAAGGCTGGGTCTTTATTAAAGTCTGTGTGCTCGGAGTTCATGTGTCCCACAAACTGGGTTATGTCCTGGGATCTGAAATCGCAGTATTTACAGGAATACGAATAGCCATCCAAAGTGCTCCGATGCCCATTGGCCAGAGCAGCACAGTCGGTACTGCTAGAGGTCTGGGTAGCCTCGCCGCTGGTGGCAGGTGCTTCTGGGGGCAGATCCTGCAGGGGTGCTTCAGGTGGAGCTTGGGCAGGCTGGGCCTCTGCACTGGCCTCCTGCAGCACCACAGTCTTCACGGGGATCATGCACGGGGTGGTGGATTTCCTCTTGCTGGCCATGGCGACAACCACTCTGGGTGATGGCTCGGTGACAGCTTGTCCCGTCAAGGGCCTCACAGTACAAGTTCCAGCTGCTCCATGAGGGTCAAAGAGAGTTTCCAAGGGCAGCTTTTACAGTTGTTTGCAGGAAGCAAGTTTTCCCTATTAAACCTGAGGAGGAAGAGAAAAATGAGTAAGATCTCTTAAGCTCTGTGTGTTTCTCAGGTGTCCAGACACAATCCACTACTTGACTTCTATCACTGGGGCTTTTTCACAGAAAGTTCAGCAGCAGCTTCGATGTCAAATCTGAATCAGAAGCCCCCCAAATGCTAACAAAATGGTGCCCTGAAGAATGACCTGGGGATGTTCCAATCCCATTAGATAGACTTCAGCCATGTGTTTTTGTTTTGTATTTCCCTCTGCATCCTTGCATTATGTAACTCAGATTCAAAAACAAAAACGACAACAATGAAATAATCCTCTTTTGAACCTCCAAATTAATTCTGACCACGTCCGAGTAAGAACAAAAGATCCCAGTGTAGTTCTTGTTTAAATGTTTGTGCCAACCAGGGTTTTTCTTTTCATAGCCTTCCCACATATGAGAACAAGATGACGCCTCTGCCTCTCCCAAGCCAGGCCAAGGTCAAGGCCAAGTCAGCGGGGGATTGGGGGGGGGCAAGAGGCACAGGCTGGCTGTAGGAGCCAGGCCTCACTCTGTGGCCTTTCACTGTCTGCTGCCCTATCAAACCCATTCCAGGCCACAGAAGAGGGATCACCTCACAGTTACTGCTGCACCCCAGACCACTATCACTCAGGTGAAGCCAAAGGCCAGAGGGTCAGGGGATCCACAGATCCCATCTGTGGCCCAGCCAGCTGCACATTCTCTCTCTGGGTGCAGCAATTCAAAGTGTGGCCTCACCTTGGATGCACAAACTACGTGTGACATCGTATTGTGCTTACTTTTTTATTTCTTTCAATGCCTTCCTTAAAAATAAAAACTCTTAAATCTTTGAGACATTTGAAATTTATTTCAAAAGTTGGGGTGATTGATTTGTTTACATGTAAAATAATTATTATAATAAATATTTCTTTTTTTAATCCTCAATCCCTCCTTTTATTGATTTTAGAGAGAGAGGAATGGAGGGGGAGAGAGAGAGAAACATCAATGTGAGAGTGAAACATCGATTGGTTGCCTCCCTCACACACGCTGACCGGGGATCGAGCCCACAACTTGAGTATGAGCCCTGACCTTTTGGTGTGCAGAACAAAGCTCCAATGGAGCCACACCAGCCAGGGCTATTGTAATAATCTTTCTTGAGATGCCTGAGAAAATGTCTCTGTGATCCCTATTAACATAATATCACGATAATCACCATTACCTTTCTTTTAGCAAATTGTAATGCTGATAATGATTAAAATAATAGTACTTTTAATACCAATATCCTGTTATCACTGCTGTTTGGATATGATATAAAAATGTAAAGTAACTTAAAATATCTCTATTCAAATTCTTAGTGAGTAAGCACAGCAAACTACATTTTGTTTGTTAAGTCAAATGCTAATGATCATGATAAAAAAATTATTATTATTAAAAAACAGAGTGAGAGAAGGATAAATATACACCCAGGATCTAACCACCTGTCACCATTTCCCTCACCAATTTGAAATGTCATGCACATATTTTTACTTATTTTTTTATTGTAAAGATAAAGTATCAATATTAAATGAAATTTAAGAAAATAAAACCACCTATAATTCTGTATACCCTTCCACCTAGTGCAAATATTTCATACATATTTTTAATCATGATGGACACACACTCGTGTGGTTTTTTTACAGAACATGACATCATAAACATTTTCATTAAATACACTTAATAATTATATAACATTCAATAGCTACTTAATAATATACCACTATGAACTTAACTCCCCCCCTCCTCTATTGAACAGGCGTCCAGCATCCCTTGCTCACAGGTGGCAGGGAAATGACCTGTGGGTATATAGGATGTATTTCTTCTATTAAACTATTTCCTGAGGCTGAGTTCACATAAATGGGTTTACCAGCTCAGTGAGTATCAACATTTCTGGGCTCCTCTATGTTTATTGGAAAACATTTTAAATCAAGTGCTTTATAATTCCAAATCAGGAAAACTAAGAATAGCACAGTTATGTTTCCAGTAAGTAAATCAGCTTTCTAGATAAATCACTGAAGACATAGACTAGAAATATGAAAGCACAAGTGATGTAATAAAAAACAGATAAGTTAGACTTAATCAAAATTAAAATCTTTTGTGCTTCTAAGGTGACCAACAAGAAAGTGAAAAAGACAACCTGCAAAATCAGAGATAATATTTGCAAATCATATATCTGATAAGGGGCATGTATCCAGAATAAAGAATTCTTACAACTCAACAATAAAAAACAAGACACCCAATTAAAACATAAAGGCTTTGAAAAGACACTCCTCCAAAGAATATATATAAATGGCCAGTAAGTACATAAGAAAGTGCACAACAGTGACGACTGGTGGAGCTCAGAGCCATGTGGCCTGCCGTCCAGGCAGCAGTGGCAGCAGCCTAGCTCCAGCG